TAATGTATACTATAATCCTTAATTATATTTATAGCTCTCAGCCCCCTATTGGTGTATTATCGTAAGATACATATTCTAGATAACTCGAGCTGGTTATAATGATAATGTATACTATAATCCTTAATTATATTTATAGCTCTCAGCCCCCTATTGGTGTATTATCGTAAGATACATATTCTAGATAACTCGAGCTGGTTATAATGATAATGTATACTATAATCCTTAATTATATTTATAGCTCTCAGCCCCCTATTGGTGTATTATCGTAAGATACATATTCTAGATAACTCGAGCTGGTTATAATGATAATGTATACTATAATCCTTAATTATATTTATAGCTCTCAGCCCCCTATTGGTGTATTATCGTAAGATACATATTCTAGATAACTCGAGCTGGTTATAATGATAATGTATACTATAATCCTTAATTATATTTATAGCTCTCAGCCCCCTATTGGTGTATTATCGTAAGATACATATTCTAGATAACTCGAGCTGGTTATAATGATAATGTATACTATAATCCTTAATTATATTTATAGCTCTCAGCCCCCTATTGGTGTATTATCGTAAGATACATATTCTAGATAACTCGAGCTGGTTATAATGATAATGTATACTATAATCCTTAATTATATTTATAGCTCTCAGCCCCCTATTGGTGTATTATCGTAAGATACATATTCTAGATAACTCGAGCTGGTTATAATGATAATGTATACTATAATCCTTAATTATATTTATAGCTCTCAGCCCCCTATTGGTGTATTATCGTAAGATACATATTCTAGATAACTCGAGCTGGTTATAATGATAATGTATACTATAATCCTTAATTATATTTATAGCTCTCAGCCCCCTATTGGTGTATTATCGTAAGATACATATTCTAGATAACTCGAGCTGGTTATAATGATAATGTATACTATAATCCTTAATTATATTTATAGCTCTCAGCCCCCTATTGGTGTATTATCGTAAGATACATATTCTAGATAACTCGAGCTGGTTATAATGATAATGTATACTATAATCCTTAATTATATTTATAGCTCTCAGCCCCCTATTGGTGTATTATCGTAAGATACATATTCTAGATAACTCGAGCTGGTTATAATGATAATGTATACTATAATCCTTAATTATATTTATAGCTCTCAGCCCCCTATTGGTGTATTATCGTAAGATACATATTCTAGATAACTCGAGCTGGTTATAATGATAATGTATACTATAATCCTTAATTATATTTATAGCTCTCAGCCCCCTATTGGTGTATTATCGTAAGATACATATTCTAGATAACTCGAGCTGGTTATAATGATAATGTATACTATAATCCTTAATTATATTTATAGCTCTCAGCCCCCTATTGGTGTATTATCGTAAGATACATATTCTAGATAACTCGAGCTGGTTATAATGATAATGTATACTATAATCCTTAATTATATTTATAGCTCTCAGCCCCCTATTGGTGTATTATCGTAAGATACATATTCTAGATAACTCGAGCTGGTTATAATGATAATGTATACTATAATCCTTAATTATATTTATAGCTCTCAGCCCCCTATTGGTGTATTATCGTAAGATACATATTCTAGATAACTCGAGCTGGTTATAATGATAATGTATACTATAATCCTTAATTATATTTATAGCTCTCAGCCCCCTATTGGTGTATTATCGTAAGATACATATTCTAGATAACTCGAGCTGGTTATAATGATAATGTATACTATAATCCTTAATTATATTTATAGCTCTCAGCCCCCTATTGGTGTATTATCGTAAGATACATATTCTAGATAACTCGAGCTGGTTATAATGATAATGTATACTATAATCCTTAATTATATTTATAGCTCTCAGCCCCCTATTGGTGTATTATCGTAAGATACATATTCTAGATAACTCGAGCTGGTTATAATGATAATGTATACTATAATCCTTAATTATATTTATAGCTCTCAGCCCCCTATTGGTGTATTATCGTAAGATACATATTCTAGATAACTCGAGCTGGTTATAATGATAATGTATACTATAATCCTTAATTATATTTATAGCTCTCAGCCCCCTACCTTGACCCTGATATATAAATGTATGCCAGTAACATCATAAATGGTGAGCTTAGCGGCTAAAGTATGCATGACATTTACTAGAGCAAAAACTCGATAGAATGCCCCTCGCGTCTTTCACCGCCTCGTTGACCGCTAATCCATAAGATATATCGCAAATCACTTAAGAATGTCAAAATGATGCTTGACTTATTTTGTGGGTGAACAACAAGCCCGCGGTAACAATCCTGTATGAATAGTATATGGCCCTTAATGCATTGGTTGTAATGTTATGGACGATGAAAATATGCTTTCCACATTTATTTTATCTAATCAAAATCTGAGAAACAATTTCCTACTCAATAGTTGTACAATATACAAATCATTTCCGTTGTTTGAGGAAAACATTTATACAGTATATTAACTCATTTATCCCTGATATTTCGTAATGAATTATTCCAACCTTCGGATTGGAGGAGCTTAAATGAGTCTTCAGGGGTGAATGAGTTAAAATTTGTCTGACCGCTTTATTAAACAGTCACTTGAACGGAGGAGAGTTCGCTTGCTTGCTTCATGAAGATGCACCACTAACAATGTAAATAAAAATAGTCTTACTATTTAGCCACATCATGCAAGTTGAAATATTGCTATTCTCTGTTTATATTTTGCTAAATGTTTAGGTTTCCTTTGCGTAATATTCGCGGCGGTTTGAACTCAAAAACAATCATATGATACAAAATAATATCATTATACATTGTGGTATATCAACATGCATTACAACAAAGATAAATAAGTCTAAGAACAAAATAAAACGCGAAATTATGACCCTGCAAAATTAAATGCACCTTACAATTTTGAAATGGTAAAAAATTGTCAGCTTTCTACTCAAAATTTATCAATCGGCTTAATTAGCATGGACTCGTTTTATTTCAGACAGACTACACGTAAACTGTCAACTCTCATTCACAACATATATCAACACAGCAATACTGTAATACAGCCCCAACCTCCCATACGTAATGTACAATGTTGTAGAGTTGAGGGCTTGACTTGAAACCCTGTAATATAGTCTATACGTCGGATAGACTCCTTCAAACCTCCTGGACCTGCTAGTTTGACAAGAGAGGATAGATACATATTCTAGATAACTCAATTACATGTGTGATCCACACCACAGATATCGGTACATTACACTGAACGTATCCCAGCGTTAGGTATCCGAACTACAGACGTCTCCATCGTCACAGACCTCGGGTGAGGAGTTCAGAGGAACACTGATAGTCGTCTGGGAATCATTGCCTATATTCAACTTGTATATGACATCGATTAAACTGCTTTACTACCTATCTCATAATTTACTTATTATACTAATCTTATAATTTACTTATAATAATACTAATCTTATAATTTACTTATTATGCTTATCTTATAATTTATTTATTATACCTATCTTTTATTTTACTTATAATACTTATCTTATAATTTACGTATTATGCTAATTTTATAATTTACTTATAATACTTATCTTATAATTTACCTATTATACAAAACTTTCATTTTACTTATTTTTATCTAATGATTTCCTTTCTTTATATGGTTATCTTTATAATTCACTTACTATGCTTGTCTTATGCTTTGCTTATTTTGTTTCGGTGTTCAATACAAAATTTTTTGATCCAAATCAGGTATAATATATTAAATTGAATTTTAAATACATTTGAGGGGAATAATTATACTTACAGTCAAACAATTGAAATAATTAATAAGTAAATAGTGTCTTTGGGTTAATAAAACGCGGTCACATTTCTATAAGTAATTTTAAATCATACAAAAATACTCTTTATGTAGTCGTATTTTTTATTTTGACTACTAAGAGACAAACACAAATTGTGTTTATTTGTTTTTGCCTGAGCAATGGTATTTTGCGGTTTTGTAAAATCCGTTTCACCTCTTATAGTAATTATGATGACACAATTCATGCTTAGCACTTTCATTGGTAAATAACACATAATGGAATTGTCCGTTTTGATAACGCGGTATCAATCTATTGCTAAATGATACACAATGATGTGTAGATCATGTCACAATGGTAATTTCCTTCAATGTTGAAGCTGATATTGGTATTGGTATTGGTATATACGATATTTCATTGTGTGTTGTCGCTGTTGATTTTTTAATCGAATAATATAACTCATTCACCCCTGAAGACCCATTTGAACACTTCCAATTCAAAGGTTGGAACCGTTCATTATGAAATTTCAGGGGTGAATGATTAAATACTGCATTCTAGCATTACCTTGCATTTTGACGTTGTGGCACACCTTTGTGTGTGTGTAATTGATAACTATTGAAATGTTCTATTTATTTGCGTGTTGACGTTGTGATTTATTAATGATAATATACACTTTATGATGGTATATATGCATGTTGACGCTGTGATGCATTGTCGGCGCTGTGTTTTGATATTGGTAAATAATACAAAATATCATTTCCTTGAGTGTTGACGCTGTGTTACCTTGGTGACGCTGTGGTATGATATAGGTAAATAATAAAAAAATAGCTTTCTATTGAGTGTTGACGCTGTGTTACCTTGGTGACGCTATGGTATGATATTGGTAAATAATACAAAATATCATTTCCTTGAGTGTTGACGCTGTGTTACCTTGGAGACGCTGTGTTACCTTGGTGACGCTGTGGTATTGGTAAATACTACAAAATGACATTTCTCTGCATTATGACGCTGTGGTAAATTATTGGTTAAATACTACACAGTGGTATTGTACGTGCACGTTGACACTAAAATTAGTGAACCCTACAAAACGATATTTCTGTGCCTGAGGGGGCTGTGGTACATTATTGTTAAATACAACAAAGGAATACTTTGTTTTCTCTATTAATACTGTGGTATATTGTTTTCCTATCTGACCTGTTACAGACGGATGTTCCCCACGTTCCAGGTACGGATGTACGGCCTTGACCCCATGGCTGAGTACATGGTGATGATGGACTTTGTACCTTGTGATGACAAGCGGTACCGTTACTCCTTCCATAGTTCCAGTTGGGTAGTGGCGGGAAAAGCTGACCCACATATGCCCGGGAGGATCCACGTCCACCCAGACTCCCCGGCCAAGGGAGCTCAATGGATGAAACAAATTGTGTCATTCGACAAACTCAAACTTACAAATAACCTTATGGATGACAATGGTCATGTAAGTTGAACTTTTCTTATGTTGTTGTTTTCAAAATAGTACTGAGCCGAAATAAAAAAGGGTTTCAGCTTGCGTCACCCACACAATAGAGTAAGTAGGTAGGTAGGAAGGTTCAGTTCTTTATTACCTTGAATGTTACGGCTCATCGGTTCAAAATAAACTTATATACAAGAATAAACAATACATCATTATCTGCCATACTCTAACACACACATACACACCCACAAGTACATACAGAGATTCTTGGGTAAAATTATATATTTGCGAAAAAAGTTTCTGTTTATATTATATTGAGAAGGTGTTTCTTTGACGTAAACCTCGTAAACCACGGTAGTCTAGTGGTAGGACGCCGGGCTCGTGACCGAACGGTTGCGGGTTCTAGTCACGGCACGGCACTGTATTGTATCCTTGAGCAAGATACTTTACTCCGCTTGTTCCAGTCTACTCAGCTGTAAATGAGTACGTGGTTGGGCAGTGCTAGAATTGTTGAATGCTAGCTTTGAGCGCCGAAATGGCAGCTCCGGCTGTATGTTCCCCAGGGAGTTGAGAAAGTGATTGGCTGGTTGCAAAAGCCCTTTAATCACAGATAATAATTTTTGAACCGCTTTGAGACGAACTACGAACTAGGTTGTGATAAAGCGGTCTATAGCAATTAATCGGATGCAAAACAACTTGATTGGGGTCCTAGATTAACACACTATTCTTGCTAATGCATGAAACAAAAAGTTCAAAGTTTAACTTCATATTCCAAACTTTATATTTTGTATATATTCAATTGAAAATGTTTTGTATTCGCTTTTAAACGAGCAAGTACTAAAGTAAATAGAATTGTAATCTGGGCTTAATTTTTGCGCAAGTATTCAGAAAGGTGCTTCGATTACATTGGTTCTATTAACTCATTAACCCCTGAAATTTTATAATGAACTATTCCAACATTTGAATTAAAAGAGTTCAAATGTATCTTTAGAGGCGAATGAGTTAACAAAAGAAGTAGTTGGTATTTTTATATTAGGACAAAGTTAAAATTAGTATTTTTCCGGATTATGCGAGATTTGGTAAGGCGGCAGGGAGAACAGATACGGCAAATCACTTGTTAATGCAATACTAGTATGATTTCATGCGAACGCAATACTATAGCGTGGTATTTCGTACCCATGCAACAATATAGTGTTCACTTGTACTTACTATACTTTTCCCAGTCATCGTAGTTTGGTTTCATGTATTGTAACTTTACCATAACATAGCACTATCAAAGACATGGTTGCTTTACAGCAACTTCCACCTAGGACGTACTTTCTATCCTAAATCTAGGGCTGTTGTAAATGAGCCTTAGCAACATGTGATAATATAATGTTGAGTTGGATTAACCGATTATATTGCAAGCTTATCAGGTTTTTGTACATTGTTGTTGTAAATTTTCCATAACGCTAAAAAATGGTTGAAATTGTTACACTGGAGGTAATATAAAACCTCTACAGAGTATTTGTTAATATTGTATTTGTTGCCATATTCAACTCATTACCAACATAAGCATAATGTTATGTCTGTTTCTTGTTTAACATATGTTCAGCCAATAAAAAGTATGTAACAAGCAATAATCTGTCGGTAAACCTTACCAAGTAATCAACAGTTGACGTCAACCTGACAGTTATGACGTTTACTTTCAATCACCATAGCGCCGTAATGGTGTTATCTTTGTGATAATTGACGTCACAAAGCTACAGAAGTATGACAAACCTCAGTGTTTGACTTCTAAGCGTGTATCTGATCACAGTGATAAGACACTGTTTGGTTAAGGAGGATACATTCATTGGTGTCATTTCTGTGGAACAACGTCATTTATCCCTGTTCATATATTTCTCTCAACACAATTACACATTAATTCGGTAAAAACAGGAGTGGTGGTGGTGGTGGCGAGGGGCTTCTCTTATGAGCAATTGAAGAATCCAAATTTGTTCTGCTGTCCCTATTGCAACACTTGTGATATATATGTTTCTTTTTTTCTCATTTCCGTATTCGTTCTTTTCGGTGGTGTATCACTATAAACACCCGTCTTCATTCAATTAGCTGTTGTGAAAAAAAATAACCTCAAACAACCAACAACCAAACAGATTAATTGTATTTGCACATTTATTATAATAACATGTAAGGTGATTTGATGGCAATAAACATAGTACTTGTAGGACGCTCTCCTCGGTGTAGATGCCCTGTGGTGCGTACGGCCATATTTGATATATGGTCAAATGTTTACTTTCTTCATCGACAAGTTAAATAGGTGTTTCCCTACTTAGTATTTTCAATAATGATCATAGCTATCATCTCTTGACTTTAAGATGACAATATAGTTCTTAGTTCGATGCAAACTGAACAATTAGATATTTCAGGTATATATATAATATTTATCAGAATTTCAATTATAAGACAATTTATAAGTTTGTTATCAAAACATTTTTTTATTATTATATTAATGACAATAGAAATGATTATGTAGATCTTATCACTCCCCCCTCCCCAATTTCAATATGAGTATGAGTATGTACTTAAACAATTATGTCCTATCTTCTGCTCCCTTCAGCTGACTGACGTTGCTCCTTCAATGTTAAACACACAGATAGTACGTTGTGTTACTAAATGATCAACTACAAAAATCTTCTAGACATGACAAGTGCGATATTGTCATAAGAAATCGAAGAATAGCTCTTAACAGTAAAATGATCCCTAAATGTTTAATATTGTCAGGCATACCCCCCCGCAGTGCAGTTAGAAGCTAACACGCATCACTATTTTAAACGTGCCTAGATATTTGTTTTGTACATTTCAATTTTTTAATCACCGGTATGAATCGTTCAGTGGGTTTTTTTCTGGAAATTTAAATATAACGAAAAAAATGTACAATCCCATCGTTTAAAATGTTAAGCAAACTTTTTTTTTATGAAGATACACCTCTTCGAAACTTTTTCTCTCTTCGCATTTTTTATACGAGATTGACACAGTTGCTGGCTCTGGAAAATTTCAACATCAATCTCGGAATCTAAAGCTCGTTAATCAAACCATCGGTACGAATATTTCCCGTCATTATTTCACAAGATCGCAAGGCAATGTAAGCCAGAAAACGTGGTAGACATTTTGTTTATCTGACTGAAATTGAGGTTACTGTAAAAGGTCACTGGAATTAGATTTAATGGTGATAGACTATGCCTATTGGGTAACGATCCTACACCCCCGTGTTAACAGTACTACACTTCATCCTTTATGTAAGAAACTGTTACACCAGGCCTGGGTTCGTGGCGTCCGTTCATTAGCATGCGATAGGCCTACCACAGGGGCCACACATATTACTAAATTGTAGTATGTGTATAGTATCACGACTATAATAAACTCTCTCGTACATTGTATCAAGTCCCTGTGAGCAAAATATAGTTCCGTACTTAATTTACCTCTCATTCACCTCTACATATCTAAACTAGACCTGTCCAGTCTTTGAGTTGGTAAGGTTCAAATGTGACTTTAGGGGTGAGTGGGTTAAGTAGAAAATTCAACACAAAGATTTCTCGATAAGTGACAAGTTGTGATTCTGTATGGTTAACAATATATTAACAAAACAGGGACAGTTCGATAATTAAATTGCCTGTAATATTCTTGGCTGTGCTGAATTCATCCTCGGTGACCGGGTCCGAGGTGAAAAATCGCATTCACCTGGACCCGAGATTGTATTAAATAGGTATGTAGTTAATATCTGAAATCCAGCGTGACTATGAAATTGAATTCCGTCAGATGGGCAGGTGTGAGGCGTAAACTATTGTCATTTATTAAAACGATCGTTTGTTTGTACTACACTGAGTCCACCTTCCATCTGAATATAAATCAAACACAAAGGTCTTCAACAAACGGTTTTCATTGTTACTGGGTGTAAGAAAATACAGCTAACATAGGTAACATGCTATACTTTTACAGTTCAAGGAAAACTTATAAAATTTCATATATGAAAATAAAAACATAATTTGCAAATATATGTATATTAATGTTCCAAATATATAATTCACAGAAATTATTTTTACAGATATATAAAAAGGTATGAAACAGGTCGTGTTTGTTAAAAAATTGCATCAAGAATTTCACGAATTTATTACAGACGGATAATTCAGAAGGGTTCCGAAAAGAACAATTACGTTTTTTATTTACTTACAGTGTAGAAATATTTCAGCTGCTTACAAATTTCCCTCTGGATAGTTTGAAAAATTATCCCAGCATTTAATATCTCCTGGTCATTTAATATCTCCTGGTCATTTCAACAAAAATTCTAGTATTTAAATAGTGTAACGAAGAAAAAAAAAAAAAGATTGTAATGTAATTTGAGATCAACTTGCTATTTGCAATAACACGATAAATATTTCTCGCTAAATGTTACTAATTTGTATTAATATATTAACTTAGATTTTCATAAGTCGATGCTTGTTATAAAAGTTAATGCTTGTTTTAAAAGTTGATGTTTGTTTCTCTAACGCTAATCAATACGTGACTAATGTATGTACCGTTTCTTTATTTACAGATAATCCTGAATTCAATGCATAAATACCAACCGCGGTTCCACGTGGTATATGTGAATCCTAAATCCGAAGATTGCTCAAATACAGAAAACTTCAAGACGTATATATTTTCCGAGACCAAGTTTATGGCGGTAACAGCCTATCAAAACCATAGGGTGAGTTAATTAAAAATGTCAATTAAAATAGCGTCAAAACCAATTAATTCGTTGATTTTTCTGATACATTACACTTGAACCAAACATAGAAACGCAGTGTAAATTCTAAATCACTATTTATAATTTATTTACCGAATTTTACATTTAAGAATGTCAAAACTCTTTTTATAAATCGGGACAAAAACTTTGACGGGGTTATGTACAGTTTAAAACGGGGCAAAAATGAATTAAAATATTTCAGATTGATGCTTTTGATAAAACCGATGAGGTTTTAAATGATGCTGACAGCTCATGACATGTTGAATCATTTAGCTTGTTGGTAACATTCGTGTAAAACGATCTATTTATTTTTTCCAGATAACACAGCTCAAAATAGCTAGTAACCCGTTTGCCAAAGGTTTTCGTGACGTAGACCCTAACGAATGGTAAGCCGAAAAAATAAAAATACACAGTGTATACCAGCTTATTTTTGTTTTTGATGGATATAAATATGTATACAATGTACTTGGTTTTAGAATGACTACCTCGCTGAAGTTTTAAATAGATCCATAGTAGTAAAATGTAGATGCTGATAATCAAGCAAACACTTTGTACATTTATCTTTAAACCTACCCCTTACGGCTGTGATCAGATTCGACATCTAATTAAAGGACCTATGTTTATTTGTCATTGTTTGAATGTTTTCAAGTCTAATTAAGCGCTTGCAATATAATACGTTTTTATCAGTGAACTATCAAAAATTATCAATATGATAATAAAATATTTTCACTACAATGAAGATAAAAGAAATCTTATATATGATGACAATTTTGTAAGTAAACCCTTGCAGAAAGTAGCAGAACAGCTGTAGATTTGCGCTGGGCCTTGGTGTCCCGCGTGATGTCATTAGAACCTGACGTCAAATATTACGATGCTACCACCCGTAATTTTTTAGATGCAGCAATATTTTCATTGTTTTATTTTTGAAATGTTATAGACAGAAAAAATAATTGTTATAGACGTTATATACCGTGCGTATTTCAATCATACGGCAAAATATACCGATATTTTCACGAGTGCAAAATAACGTTATTCTGCCATACTAGTGAAATTTATACTGTATATACAACGAAACACCATTTAATATCCTTTGTGTATTTGATAGATAATAAGTTATGATATACAAAGAGTTACGGCTTGAAATAAAACGTGCGTTTCGGTAAAATTAAGGATAGATACAGATGACTACTGTTAGCCTTAGCAGGCCGTATGCGTCTTTCTGTCCCGAGTCCTAAACACATCCTAGATTGTATACCAATAGTCATGTATTCTGTTTATCTTGCGGCCCTTCAATTGTGCAAAAACAATGCAGAAGCCGGAATATGTTACTAGATTCAGATCTGATTTCTTGTTATGCACATGGTGCCAGTATGATGCAAATATAATCTAAACTGTAAAACCTGAGAAAAGTCAAGGGTAGAAACGCCATTTTCCGGTTTGATGTCAAGTTTGGTGCAAGGTTGAGGAACAAGTATACTTTCTAGCTTTTTGGGTAAAAAGATGTTCTAAGATAAATGGCTGTTGTTATGATATTTATTTTAGTCGAGTAAGCTATTTATTTATATAAACAAAAGGCGAGAATTGTATAGCCCTAATTTTCTGAGATGCAGAAAATCAACGAGAAATCTTACACAAAAACAGGTAATTAGGGCCAACACGTATATAATGTAGTTACAAAGGGAACTCAAGGCAGAACACACCACCGCTACTGATCGGTGACTGTATCCGGATCATAGTGTCACGTTTAAATGTACAAAGAAACACGACAATACATTTTTTTTAATAATCCTACAAACTCCAATTAATTTAAAGTCTTGGATGTATCGAAACTCTCAATTCCTTATGTTGTTTGCATTGTTAAAGTTACAGTATTATTTGTCAGACAGTAAATAGTTAGTCACGTGCTAAACAATGAGGCTGGTCCAGGTTTCACGAATGCTCCTTATCTACAAAGACTTCCTTTACTTAGGATTTTTCATTATTGAAGTTTTGAAATCAAGAAAAATTCTGAAAATATTGGAACTTTTCTTTACCTCAGTTATATTTTCCAATTAAACATCTTCAGCTAGGAAAAGTTTGTGACACAGAGGCCATGACAAAAATTCATAGAAACGTTCCCATGCTCAATCTCAGTTCCCTATACATTGTTGTTTAATTATCGAAATTTCGCTCTTTTCAATGATTTCGACGAATATTTGATGATATTTAAGCATAATAGCGTTTTATTTTCTGGACTTAGCGTACTGATTGTGCCGTATGCTTTCCTGCGACTCTAAAATAAAAATTGCTTCAGCGCAGAATTCTGGCCTGAGCATGATAATGGTTTCATGAAGATAGGCCTTGGTATTTGGCAAGTACTATGAGAAACACCCGTTTTTTGTGTGTCAAACGATGAATACTATTTTAATCTCTTGTGTAGTGGAACTGGTCTGGGTCGATCGTCGGCGACCAGGAAGCACAATTGGTAGAGCGTCTGTCTAGAGTTCGGTGGGTTCCGTGCATTTTTTTCATCTGCTGTTACACTTGCTAAGTATTGTTATTTTATTTTTGTAAATATGACATATAACTTACACCTTTTCTTTCCCTCGTCAGTATGGTGGACGTGATATCCCACTTGAACCCCTGCTCCCGTCCACGAAACCAACACCGTCCTAGTTCCTTGCATCTCGCCAATATCACCCGGAAACGAGGCTCTGACGACAAAGAAAAATGTAAGCTAAAACTGGAAGCCAAAGTGACGTCATATAGCTCAATCATTTACATCCTATTTCAATAATTTCACTCTATTCCATGAATTGAATAGAAGTATTAGGAAAAAGAAATACTTGATGCGGTATCATCAAATTGTGGTTTTGATCAGCGGATAAGATCTAACGTCAAGATATTATCGGAATCTGCATCCGATACCCTTTACAGAAATGTTCACTTATTTGTTCTCTCCTTATCTGTTGTTAATTGATCTGTACTTTACATTGACGTTCTATAACATCGTTTCATTTGTAGTGTCAGTGTCGCATTATTTATGTCTATAAGTACACATGTAAAGGTATAGGCGATATTGAAATTCTTACCGGTTGTGTAAAAATTCACAAGTTTATTATATTCATAAACAAAACAAAGTATTATCGCAAGCGAGGAAAATAGTTTTTCTGACAATGGTCCTGTCTTTTCTATTATTTCAGGTTCTTCCGAGTCGGACGATTCCACGTGTATGTCCCCAACTGGTGTAGTGAACCACGGTCTCTCATCCACGCCCCTCAGACTCCCCCCTCGGGGATCATATACGGACGCTTATAACTATGTTCCCTACTCTCACGAGACCTATATGATGACGTCAAAATCTCGTCCCTCGCCGTACACCCGAAGCATGGAATACCAGTCTTTCCATCACGCAAGGATGAAAGAAATATACCAGGGGACAACGTGTGGCTATAATTTCTGAAGTGTTCCTCGGTGAATTGTGTTCCCATGTTGTGTTCTGATGTGTTCCTGTATGTGTTCCACTGTTTACACATGTGTTCCTGTGTGTCAAGCAGACGTTTAAAATAAATACATTGGACATTTGTTGAGCCGGATTTCGAAATTCCGAAAATCTTGCTTTCTCAACGGAAACCTAATTTCATCATATGGACTAAAACGATCTTTTTTTAAAAATATTTTTTAAATAGGCGTCTGGACTTAAGCAATATAAGGTGTCTTTTTAGGGCTATTTTGCTTTTTCTGTCTTTGGATGTGTTTCGCGGCGAGGAAGAGATAAAAGCGCTGTTTTCTTCTTAAACGGCGCCTGGTCGTCGTGACAAAACGACAAAAAGCATGATTTACTTTGCTGAACGGCGTTTATCGCTTTTTTAGCCAAAAAGCGTCTTTCTAATTTACAAAATGGCGCTTTGTCGAGACAAAAGAAAAAGCGCCACTTTATAGTCTTTTTCGACTCGACGAAGTGCCGTTTATGAATAAAACAGGTTTTTTTTCTGTAACAAGCACCCTATTGTTAAAAAAACCACGGCGCTTTTTTACAAACTGAAAAGGCGAAAAAATCAGAACTGGCCCTAATCAGCCATCATAGAAACACGAATTTTTACTGCTTAATTAATCTTATTATTGTAAGCGAATTTTCCAGATTATCAGGTTGTGCTCTCGTTGGTCCACTCATCATCACGCTGATTAGCCGTACTTGATTTTCCTATATGAACTATAGTCAGATTTTTTTTAAAATTTTAATCCAAAGATAAACATGTACACATATTAAAAGTTTAAGTTTAATGTCTTTGATTGCAAATCATTACAAATGGACTGGGCACAAGTTATTACAACGTAGTATAGCCGTTTCTAAAATACATAACACTATTTAAGTTTAACCGTATACATAAATTAAAAGGTCTTAAGTATCGCTATTAATAATTCATACAGTGATATTAATCTGGTAGTATCTATCAGGATGTTCGACCAACAGTTCAAACATCTCGGGTAAACATTTCAGACATGTGATGTTTTCATTTAAAAAATTAAACCCTCGGAATAATTCGTTGAGATTAATATTCACAAACATATCAAATAATGTAGACTATTTTGTTTGTTCCGTTCATAGTTGAAAAGTTTAACGTTTTGAAGATTATATTGTACATATGATAAATGAACAGCAATTTTTATCACATATGGTAACATCCGATTCATAACACTTAAGTTAAAATATTTGTTTGAGAATAAACCCCTTTCCGAAAGAAGTGGCATGTTCCTAAAGTAGTCACATTGAAAGGTTCTGTTTGCATTGAAAAGGAAATTACAGGAGTTGCTATTTTCGACGATAGATATATTTCCATTGCCGAACTGAAGATACGATATGGATTGGGCTCAAGTTTAACCAATTTATCAATGCCCTCTCACAATTTAAATAAAATACAAAAAAAGGAGAAGAAACACTTACCCAAATATTAGGAAATAATCTGGATCTATAACGAGTATCAAAATCAGTTACAACCTGGTACTATCACGATTTGCAAAACAAAATCTTGTTGGTTTGATAAAGTTTGATTGCTTTATGTTTTAATTAAGGGAAAGCCGGATCACGAAAAATATATATTAGATATGTTCAGCAGTTCAATTTTTTGAACACGTGTTCCTTGACGTACACCTTTATGAGGATCACGTGTTACACATGCATCGGGACCATGTGCTCCTATGTACACAAGTGTATCGAAGACTACGTGTTCCTGTTCACACACGTGCATCGGGACCACGTGTTCCTATACACACATGTGTATCGGGACCACGTGTCCTTTGCACACACGTGTATCGGGTCCACGTGTTTCTGTTCACACACGTGTATCGGGACCACGTGTTCTTGTTCACACACGTGGATCGGGACCACGTGTTCTTGTTCACACACGTGTATCGGGACCACGTGTTCTTGTTCACACACGTGGATCGGGACCACGTGTTCTTGTTCACACACGTGTATCGGGACCACGTGTTCTTGTTCACACACGTGGATCGGGACCACGTGTTCTTGTTCACACACGTGTATCGGGACCACGTGTTCTTGTTCACACACGTGGATCGGGACCACGTGTTCTTGTTCACACACGTGTATCGGGACCACGTGTTCTTGTTCACACACGTGGATCGGGACCACGTGTTCTTGTTCACACACGTGTATCGGGACCACGTGTTCTTGTTCACACACGTGGATCGGGACCACGTGTTCTTGTTCACACACGTGTATCGGGACCACGTGTTCTTGTTCACACACGTGTATCGGGACCACGTGTTCCTGTTCACACACGTTCATCATAAACATGTGTTCCAGTTGTGTTGTATTTTCAACGAGTGTTTTATTTATGATTCACTACATGTTTTTCTTATATATTATAAAAATCCATTGATGTATATTAAAATGTTTTTATTTTACAACACTATTATATTTGTTGCATTTTTTAACAGTAAATGTTGGTTAGTCCAAACAGTTGGTAAGTCCGAAAACGTTGTTAGTCTGGACACTAAGTAAGTCTGAACACTTGCAATTGCTTAGTCCGAACACTAAGTTAATCTTAACACTTGATTAGTCCGTTGTTTAATAAGGTTCGTCACCTGCATTTTTTTAGATAACATATCCAGTCTTAGTTTGGAACTTACTTGTATCGCCGGGGCCCGATCATCAATCCACGGTTTGGAATTCTTCTTGGAATTTGATACGGTCGGTAAAACATTGGTGCATGTCACGACAGGGAAAATATTTTACACCTTTTGTGGCATTCGGGACACCTCGACTGATTCGGTCATCTTTGATGAAAGGGAACTGTAATCGGGGCGAGGTGTTTCGAATGACCCATGTTCGACAACGAAGACATCCGCCTCGAGGTCTGATCCGGAGGGACACTATGCGACCTTTGAACTCTGATCCTTGAATTCCCGCTTGATTGATATGTCCCTAGGGGCTTCATAGAAGTAGACCGAAAGTAAACAATCATCCTCCAACTCAGTGAACCGAAACGATTACTTTGGCCGCATGTACATTCGATACGTGTGCAATCCGATTTCAAAGACTGTTGACGAGGACCCGTCAATGATGGAGTCCCCTTCTCCCCTGGAGTGTACTCGGGTGTCAAACATCGGTAAAAAGGTGTTCCGAGTCACCGCCGTTCGAACGATTCTAATTTAGGGAAAATATTCTTACAGGTCAAAGTAGGATTAAAAATGTAAAGTAGAACAAGGGAACAGATTCACCTGGTCCTGGTGGACTTGAAAACAGGTTTAGTGTGTTCTATGAAAAGAGGATATTTTGGCCCGATCCTACTCTGCCCTGGAGGAGAAACGTCCTTAAATGACCTAAGCTGTTAATAGGACGTTAAACAAAATTAAACCAAACCTGGAGAGGAAGAGAGAACCTGTTGTTCTGGTCCTGAAGGGTGATAGACAACGACCAGACGAATTCAGACTATAAAAGTCTTGGCTGAATATATCTTAAAATGTTCAGTAAGGTAACTTAACTTTAAGAATATTTTATTGACAATTAAACTGAACAAGAGATTGGACACAAGTACGTACACTTTATCACAGCCTTCTCCCATATGCAATGACAATAGGTATAAACATTAAGTAGATATATGCAATATTCGCACAGACACAAATACACAACATAAAAAACAACGTTCAAAATGTATTGCTGGATTTGATGAGGTGATGTACATGTCTAAAAACGTTGAGTTAAGGTCCTCCGAAAGATCTGAACTGCCAAACAAGTAAGGTAACGCTTCATAAGAAGTTAATTTATTATAATATTCACAATATTCGCAGATTATCACCTTACATGACGGATAACGACGTTGAAATAAACCATGACTTATTTATTCAAAATACAAATTGTTGGTGTGTGTTTTATTAAAAGATTTTAAGCTATGATTTCCAAATGTGCGATACAGTATGTACACTAGAATGTTCTACATAACCTTTGCTGTTAATATAATTTTAAACCCAATAACACCAATCAAAGTCTACATAAACACTACAAATCATACATACCATGTTTAACACGTTTTAGTCATGAAATATCACAAATAATCCATTTGATAAGAACGTATTTTTTTAGCATAGTGGTCAACCAGACGCTTGATCACTTTGTAATTCCCTGTTCGGCGTAGCTTGCACAGAAAACAAGAGTCTGGTTGAACGAGACTACAGTGAAGCAGGGATGATATATTTTCATAAGTGAAGACGTCACTTTTAATATTGTCCAATCAGAACAGTAGATCTTCTATTCACTGCATTGATATTGAAGCAACATCAGAATAAGTGGTGGGTATGGTTCACCTCTGTTTTATACATTAAGGTATTTACATTACAACACAATTGATATCAGTTTTGATTTGAAATCTTATAAGATAATAGCAGAAAACGGTTTTGTTTTCGAGCGTGACGCCATTTGAAGCTGGCGTAAAACATTGCGCATATAATTCCTGCATATTTCTGATGTAGTTGACGCTTTCCCGTTGAATGCATATATAAACGTATATATTTATATTACTCAAAATGACAAAAATGGAACTTAAAAGTATATAAAGAAAACAACGGGAACTGCGAGGAAACCGAAAAGATTAGACATGACAAACCTACACAAGCATTGTAGAGATACTGAATGTTTCGAAAAGAGATTTGAGATCTTTTTTGTTTCGTGACATGCTATGCATTGGGACTGGTCTTCGCTTTTCAATAAATAAGAAAGGGTTATGTTAGGACAACCCCGTCTCGGCGGTTTTCTCTATAGCTTGGATACCATCCACCGATTTCAAGGTTTACACAGCTTAATGTGTTGTCTACGCATTGATTCCAAGTATTTTGCCACTTTGACCTTACATAATTTGTTACAAAGAAACGAAATTAAAAACAATGCGCACAGAAACATTTCTTTACCACACGTGACACCAATTATCCAATCATAATCATGGAAACCAAGACATGACGTAAAACCCCGACGCCTGGCGGCTAGACGGGAATGTTAGTTCGGACCACTCGTGTCCATAAACATTACAATGAATTACACAAAGGAGATTTAAAATATTATAAATTATTCCTGGACATGGATTATCAACTGTCTGGACGAAAGGAGTTACAGCTGTGTTGTCATGTCGGTCATAAAACACTCAAATGGATGTTCCTAAACCTAATTGTGTACAATTACTGAATGAGACGGCTATAGACGCGTCATAGCTTGTCCCGTAGACAACTACAGGGTGGGATGGAGTGATGTAAGATTTATAGAATCTCATCTACCAATCACCAGGGACACGGTTGTTTACTTAAGCGTCCTTTTGACTACCACGTATAAACATTCACAAGATCCATCACGAAACACGACACGGTAAAATTCCCATATTGGAAAATACTTATCGCTTGGTATCACTGAAGCAAACGGGTTGAACACAATATATTAAACATTACATACATGTTTTCCTCAATACATGTATTGGTCACAATGAATCTAATTTTACTTTTACAAAACACGAAACAAATAAGAAAATTCCCGAAAACTTGCGGTACAGTATCAAAATACTTGTATCGCCAGTGCCAACCGTACGAATAATCTCGGAACAGCCTAACGTCACACAAATGTTTGCGTTTTACGATGGTCTCATTACTTTTTTTATGAAATTGCGGTTGTCTCATTATTCGCGGCGGAAGGAATACCTTTAAAATGATTCTGATCTGTCCAAGGGTGTTCATAGCACTATGGTCGCAATTTCTCTTGGTTCTTCTTATTTAGGGACATGCAAGGCAGTGGTAATATATAATTAATACCATAAATACTCTAAAAAGAAAACAACAACTGAGCAACGCATAAAAGGGGGTATTTCAATTACTATAAATTCAAGTTATGCGTTGGATTTGATATTTATTTCTACTTTCAAATTATAGTTATGGTGATTTATTGATGTTAACACTAAGATCCAGATTTAAAAAATATTTTCTTGCTTTTCACAGCAACGGCTTTGAGCACTAATTACATCTTATTGAAACTTTTTCGCTACAGTTTAACAAATATAATTTAACTAGGATTCCAAATGGCCGATCATCAATAATTCAATCACATTAATGAACACGCTCATCTACACTTAACACTCTAATCATACACACGCTCACTGAGTATCCAGCTAAATATCAGTGCCTTCGAATCCAATGCTTGTTGAAACATATATGGCCGGTTTATTTGGTGTCAATTGGTCTCTTTGTTGGTCTGTCTCTCTAAGACTAAATATTATTTCATATTACGTGCCAAATTATGAATCCGCGTTGCGTCAATAAATCTTTTTATTATAAATTATGTTTTTCACACCTCCTGAATGGCTGGAACTTTTTCATCTGATTCCCGATAAAAGATGACTTCGTTCTCGGTCATTATTATTTCTAAGGTTGTACATGTACCGACCTCATCATATAGCTATACTTGTAATATTGTGATTTGTCTGAAGGATGTCGATCAATTATTCACCTCTCTTTTCTTCTGTCGACTTTAAATGAATGCAGTCCAAACAAATAAATATGTATTCATATATAAACACCAATGATGATTTTTCTTTATAAGAACACTGGTGTTTTACATCAATTCCTATTTGTATATTTATAAAAGTATATACCTAGGCTATAAACGATAATCGTGTTTAAAATGCCGTTTGTCTGGTTCGGTATAATCTCGTATATCGTTCAAGAGAAGTTTCATTTAAATCACTGATAAGGTTTTACGTTTCAAAGAATTGTAATTTTGTGTGGAACTGATAAGCGTTCGTATATATTTGGTTTCGTTAGATTTTTGTTTATTTTTCATGTAATAAATTAAAAATCTTGTCAATGAGTAATTTGTATTTACATTTTAAGGCGCCCATAACACACACTTTTCCTTCACAGATAAGAAAATACACGGTTGCGATTAGCACACTAGTTCTACTATCAGCCGGAATCACAGAGTAGGGTACGGCTTTTTATTTACCAAACACAAATTACATCCGCTATCACCGACATAATCTCGGGTTAACTCGTATGACGTGGTTTGCGTACCACCATGGAAACGTGGAGACTAAGGAGATGTTTCAATGTGTTTTTTCAGAGCTGTATACATCGCCAATCTATTATGATAGGGTATTTATGTTGAAAAAAATATTCTTTCGCTTCCAAAAACGGATGACAAATGTCTTTTAAGGGTGAAGGTCACGTATATGATAAACTGTTCCTGGTACAAGCCAAAGTCGGTCTCGGTCCTACCAGCTTAACTTTGACATCCTGTTGAAGTAATTCACTTCCTGTTGTGAAATTCGTTTTTAAAATTGGCGTCGAAAGATTGCAGATTAGTTTCAAAAGTATCAAATAAATCTAAATATCATAAATTATTCAATAAATTTCCATAAATTTTCTATT